AGTGCTTATGCAGGACTTTATCTCATCAGCTAAAGTTTGCAGGAATAGTGCTGGGCTGAGGTTTTGTTCTGTTGTTGTGAGATGTCTTTTGTATAGTTGCCAATGTTACAATCTGCTGCAGTTGAAATTTTTGCTTTAGATTGCTGCAGCTTTCAAAGAAGCTTCTCTCCCTTTGACTAATTCGAGGGTTATAGGATTTGGCCAAATAACAAATCTTAAGCATGGACCACCCCTGCCATCTTTAAATAATCTTTTCGATGTTGTTGCTCTTGTTTCCATTGGTTGGTTGGTTGGTTTTTTATTTAAGCTTCAAAGGGTTTTAATCCAATTTTAGAGAGTTTCATTGTAAGAGCATACCTTGTAGAAATTTAGCTGAATTCATATATCGAGTCAATGGGATGGTTTTAGTGCTTTTAGCTAATGTGTGTATATATAATCAGTTCATGTAGTAGAATCATGAATTTTGTTGGATTTCATGGCTTGACCCTTGGTGCTAATAAGGATGTTTCTAGGTCAGCAGTTCTCAATAAATGGTTGGGAGTCCCCCGGAAGGCCATGAGCAGATACCAGGATCTCCGCCAAAATAAACCAGCGAGCAGGGCTGGCGTTAGACTCGCTGGGACCCAGGGCAGAGAGCTGAAGCCCAGGCCCCGCTGCCCGGGGTTGGGGCTGAAGGCAAAGCCCAAGCAACTTAGCTTCTTGGGGACCTGGGCAACTGCCCTGCTTGCTACCCCCTACCACCAGCCCTGGCTTTTAATCTACTGGATATGCAGAAAAACAGTTGTGGCACAGGTGGGCTGTGGAATTTTTATAGCATGTTGCGGTGGCCTCAGAAAGAAAAAGGTTGAGAACCCCTGGTTTAGGTCACTGTGAAAAGTATTCCTTTTAAACGATCTTCTTGTTTTTCTGAGCATGCCATTTATTTAATATACGTGGTTTGAATAGCTGATGACTGCTTAAGAAATGAGCATGTTTAAAAATTCTTTGTATTTATGCATACAAAGTGTATTATTGTTGACATAAACATATTAAGAATATAAGAATGGCCATACTGGGTCAGACCTAAGGTCTATCCAGCCCAGCATCCTGTCCTCTGACAGTGGCCAATGCCAGGTGCACCAGAGGGAATAAACAGAACAGGCAGTCATCAAGTGATCTATTCCCTGTCACTCATTCCCAGCCTCTGGCAGAAAGGAATTGTAGTAAGGAATGCTTTTTAAAAATGAAAGGCTTGCAGTTCGCTAAGTTTTAAAAATATACAAGCTTATTTTATCCTAAATCATAAGAAGCTGATGTTTTCATTTTAGAGTAAAGCATGACTTAGCAACTCTAACAACTCCTACAAATGTTACCTAACTTTAAATATTCTCAAACGTGTGTGTTTAAAAACAAACCCGTAGATTTACCTGTTTCACAAGGGAAGTGGGGGAATAAGTTAGTATACTTCATTAGCTGAAAACTATAGTAAGGAACTTTGTGCCCTCTTTTCTTTCAGGTCTTTCGTAAAAGAAAGTAGATTAGGCAGAGTTTGTGTATCTGAAATGTTTAAACTGTAAATTTCTGGGACACTGGCCATTTTGATCACCTGCCTCTGTGTCATAGTATGTATGGCATTTTTTTTGCGCTGGAGGGTGGGCTAAAGGAAATTAAAAATCATCCTTACATGACCCTTGCTTCAACCTCAACTGTGTAGAGGTTATCTTTCCATAACTAAGTGCATACACCTGCAGACATGGAATTAGAAGACAGGACCCACAGCTTTAGAATACATCCCTTTTCTGCCACTTGTCTTTACTACTTATCTGTTTAGCAATGGAAGGACTTTTTTAACGTTCTAAGCTGCGGTATGCTCGTTCAAATATTTTACACACTCTTACTCCAGTGGATTCAATGACAAAAAATTCCATGGATTGAAAATCGGTATTTTGCCTATTACACCCCAAACCACCCACAACAAAAATAGTTAATAACCTTATTTAATCACAACCCAATTTCTTCAATGAATAAAGCAGTTGCATGAGTTTTCAAGGAGATACATATATGTAAATCTGGAGGGGTAAAAAAGTCAAATGACACCCAGATTTGATTTTTTTACTTTAGGCTAAGTTCTTAATGACCTGCAACATTACCAAACAATTTGAGTTTTCTTCGTACTTCTTAAAAACATTCCCTTTTGCCTTCAGAATAAATTTAGCAATTTTCTGACTAAACCAATCTTCTAAGCAAGAGTTAGTGTGACTGAAATATGTCTCTGATTAGGGCTGTCAGTTAGTCGCAGTCAAATCACGCAATTAACTCAAAAAAATTAATCGCACTGTTTAATAAATTTCAGTTGGTACTCTAATATTTTGGATGTCTTCTACATTTTCAAATATATTGATTTCAATTACAACACAATACAAAGTGTACAGTACTCACTTTATATTATTTTTATTACAGATATTTGCACTGTAAAAATGATAAACAAAAGAAAGTGTTTTTCAGTTCACCTTATATAAGTACCGTAGTGCAATCTCTTTATCATGAAAGTGCAACTTACAAATGTCGATTTTTTTTTGTTAATAACTACACTCAAAAACAAAACCATGTAAAGCTTCAGAGCCTACAAGTTCACTCAGTCCTACTTCTTGTTCAACCAGTCGCTAAGAGAAACAAGTTTGTTTGTGTTTACAGGAGACAATGCAGCTTGCTTCTTATTTACAGTGTCATCTGAAAGTGAGAACAGAGGTTTGCATGGCACTTTCGTAGCCAGCATTGCAAGGTATTTATGTCCCAGATATACTAAACATTCATATGCCCCTTCATGCCTTGGCCCCCATTCCAGAGGACATGCTTCCATGCTGATGACGCTCGTTAATAAAATTTGTGACTGAACTCCTTGGGGGAAAATTGTATGTCTCCTGCTCTGTTTTACACCTGCATTCTGCCATATATTTCATGTTATAGCAGTCTTGGATGATGACCCAGCATGTTGTTTGTTTTAAGAACACTTTCACTGCAGGTTTGACAAAACACATAGAAGGTACCAATGTGAGATTTCTAAAGATAGCTACAGCACTCGACCCAAGATTTAAGAATCTGAAGTGCTTTCCAAAAGCTGATCAGGGTGGGGTGTGAAACATGCTTTCAGAAGTCTTAAAAGAGCAGCACTCCAATGCGGAAAATACAGAACCCAAACCACCAAAAAAGAAAATCAACCTTTTGCTGGTGGCATCTGACTGAAATGATGAAAATGAATATGCATTGGTCTGCACTGCTTTGGATTGTTATCGAGCAGAACCCATCATCAGCATGGACATGTCCTCTGGAATGGTGGGTGAAGCATGAAGGGACATATGAATGTTTAGCACATCTGGCAGGTAAATATTTTCCAACGCTGGCTACAACAGTGCCATGTGAACACCTGTTCTCACTTTCAGGTGACATTGAAAACAAGAAGCGGGCAGCATTATTTCCTGCAAATGTAAACAAACTTGTTTGAGTGATTGTCTGAACAAGAAGTAGGACTGAGTGCACTTGTAGGCTCTAAAGTTTTACATTGTTTTGTTTGAGTGCATTTATATAACAAAAAAAATTACATTTGGAAGTTGTGCTTTCACGGTAAAGAGATTGCACTTCAGTATTTGAGGGGAACTGAAAAATACAATTTCTTTTGTTTATCATTTTTACAGTGCAAATATTTTTAATAAAAATATAAAGTGAGTAGTGTGCACTTCGTAATCTGTGTTGTAATTGAAATCAATATATTTGAAAATGTGAAAAACATCCAAAAATGTTTATATAAATGGTATTCTATTGTTTCACAGCATGATTAATCGTGATTCATTTTTTTATCGCAGTTAATTTTTTTAATCGCTTGGCAGCCCTATCTCTGATAGAAGATGGCTGCAACTTTAACTGTAGAGCAGCTACTATCTCTTCATCACATAAGACAGGAGTGGCAAACATATTGCCTGCCCAAAGGACCCACAGCTCCTGCGGAAATTAACAAAGGAATCTGCCTATAGCTCTACCACAGTATAAAAGGGTTGGGAGGGAGCTAAAATAAAAGTGGGTGGAGTGGAAGAGGGAGATAATATCTTAGCCCCTCCCCTACCTCCCTTAGCAGTAGTGCCACACATGCCCCTCAGCTTTGGCTTAGGAGAGGGTCCTTCCCAGTGCTCCCCGCCCATATGAGTCACCCTTTGTCTCTTTCCTCACCTCACTCCATTTCTGCAGTCACCAGTCTCCCAGCACTGGGATCAGAAGAACCTTCTTTCCAGACTTTCCCCCTTATTGCCACTGCTGCTGGGCCTCATACTACTAAGGAAAAGGACATTTTTTTTTATTACTACGCTTCCACCTTAGTCCAGGAACCAGGACCTGGCAGGCAGGAAGAGTGGGGAGAAGAATCAACAAATGGGGTAGAGAAGCGGAACAAGAGAGGGTAGGAAAAAGGGGGCATGGGGGAAAGGAAGTTGATGAGAAGAGGAGGACATGGGGGGTGGGAGAGAATGCCAAAGTGAGGTTGGGTGGGAGTAGAGAGGGTATGTGTGAGGAGGTGGTGTGAGTGTCCAAAATGGGAAAATGGATAGGGAAAAGAGGGGACAGTCACATAAAGAATGGAGGTCATGGGGGCGAAGAAAGGAGGTTTCAGGAATGCAAAGGGTTTCTTGTGATAAGTCTTTAAATGTGATATTTTACTTGGCTAGCTAAAGGACACTGCACTCAGAAGACTGCAGAATTTTCTTCTTAGTGAAATTTTTACTCACAGAACAAATTTAACATGCCTGATATAAGGCAAATAGAAAATAACTATTTTCATATAAGCAATGAAAACTCCCTGAAAAAATTGAACTCCTGGATGTTGGTCCTTATTCTGCAATTTAGTGTTTGGAGCAGCTGCACTATTCGGCCCATTGTGTATGCAGTAGATTTTGCTGTGGTACATCATTAGAGGAATTTTAATACTTATGCAGTTCTGAACTTCAGCAACTTTTTTGTTTTGTTTTACTTTTTAGGTGTATTAAACTTCAATCCGGATGCAGCTGATTTCATTCCCAGAGAGAGAGAGACTCCTGATGTAAATTGGAGAAGTCTGAGTAGATTAGAATCCAATAGGAATCAGAACAGAAATGATACTCTACCACTTCCTAGTCAGTCTTCTGATAGAGGCACAGACTATGAGAGCTCTTCCACAAAGCAACCCAGCTTTTATAGTTCAGAAAGCCAGTACTGTAGCCAGCAAGATTTTCTCCAGCATGGTGGTATCAGTAAACCTCATAAGAATCATAGTTTTCAGAGTCAGCGATGGCAGAGATCTAGAAGTGATAGGACATATACTAGAAACCGGATAAGGCAATCATCTACTGATGGTACAAAAGACATGACAGTTTTAGATACCACATTAGTACCAAGGTGGAGAGTCAATCCTAAAGAATACAATGACTTTTGCTCTTCAGAGAGTGACAAGGAGGTATCCGGTGCAGATAATAGAGGGGCAAAACCAAAGAAAACACATTTGATGCCTGCACCTGGAAGAGGTCTCAAAGAGAAGGGGAAGCAATTACATGAGCGGGATAAGAGAGTGACATCTAAACAGAAGGATATGTTAAAAAACATACAATCTCTGGATCTGACTCAGTCTGACTCTTCAGAAGCATCTGTTGCCAAAGCATTGTTCGATGGATATGCTGGCAATAGTGATGAACAAAAAAGATATCCATTTGCGAACAAGAAATACCCCAGGAAGTCCATGTGGAGTAAACCCCAGTTTGGTAAAGAAATCCAGAAAAAACAAGATACTCACCGCAGTAAAAATACAAAAGAAGTTAAGAAGCCTCCTCTTACTTACGCTCCAAAAGATAAAATTAGCGAGAGGAGCAAAGAATCAGGTGTTCACAACAATGATCAAAACTTGACCAGCATAACACAAGCTCACCAATTAAGGGAATCAGTCAAATGTGGTGGAAGACAGCTTCACCTACAGGTGGGACACACAGCCTCCCTTCATTGCAATTGGACTCAATATTGGAAAAAGCAGAGTGATGTACCAAGGAACAAGGAAACTCATACAGGTAAGTTTCTTGGACTGATTTAGACCTCCAAATTAAAGGTCTGGTCCTATGAGATGAACAATTTCAACTGCTATTGAAGTTAGTTGAAGATGGTTGGCATTTCACAGGAGTTGCTCAACACCTCACAGGGTCTGTTTCAAAGGATGCAAAGGATACTTAACATACCTGGATTATATTTAAATGCATCTGTTTGCTATGTGTCTGGTGATTTTCCATAATTCCCACTTCATTATAGAAAGGTGGCAGCCTTTCCACAGGTGGTGTTTAAAGCTGAATTTTGTATCTTTTGTAAATCAGACTTCAAAATGGAGGTCACGTCAGGGACAAGAGTAGAATTGTGGGGAAAATGTAAAGTGATTTGAACAAGTGTTCTAAAGCTGGAGTATCCTTAAATGAAATAATTGTCAAAGTTGCAAAAGTTTTCTGATGTTTTGTTGCACACAGAGAGGAGCTAATTAAGGGATGAGTAAAATGAAACTCCTATTGCTGGACTCTCCTTTCTGAGATCAAGCATATGGTACCAAAAAGATGTAATATTGGAAATACAAAAAAAGCTGTTAGGCTTTAGTTTTGGAACAGTGGAGTGGAAAGGTGTGGCACTGAACATCAATGAGAAGATCACCAATACAGTGTTCAGACTGTGTGGTGGAACTTGTGAAAAGTCTTCATTTCCAGGCTTTGGAACTCAAACATATGTGGAGGGGACAGACCACCCTCCAAAACCACAGCACTGATTTCTATTTTTCATCTAAAGAAATAGCTCCTTCACTCAGGCCTGGCCTACACTACAAAGATAGGTTGGATGTCACCTTGCATCGACTTACATGTGTGTGTCTACACTCAGATTTGATTGCTGCCTATGTAAGTGCCCCTGTTAGGGCGACATAACACCCCTGCCCAAATGGCATTGAGCCATGCTTGACGTACTGTGGTTGATGCAGAGCGAGTGTAAATGCTGTGTAACCTATCTTGACCCTAACAGTCCTTCAGCAACTGTCCCACAATGATCATTCTGGTCACAATTGTGAACTCCACTGCCCAGGTGTCAGAGACCAGAAGCCATGTCTCCCCACCTTTTAAACCCTCACCAATTTTTTAAAATGCCTTTTCCTGATTTCCCACTTTGGCAGCTCTCCCTCATTGTGTACAGCTGCTCAACCAACTATGCCGGCTTCATGTGTGTCTGCCTGTAGTAGACATGAGGTATTGGATCTTCTAGATGTATGGGGAGAAGAGGCTGTGTAGGCAGAGCTATGGAATAGTCATAGAAACATGAATGAAAATATTGCATAGCGGATGCAGGTAGCAGCAGCAGTGCCGCATGAAAGCAAAGATGCTGCAGCAGGTATTCTACAAGGCCATGGAGGCCGACAGTTGAGCTGATGCCAAGCTGCACACCTGTCGCTTTTACCATGAGTTGCATGCAATACTTGGCAGAGAACCCACCAACATCTGCAGACCACTGTGGATATCTTGGAGGAGCCTGAGATAGAGACCCATGTGATCAACAGTGAGGTGGAGGTGGGAGATGTTGTAGGGGAATCCAGCTATGCTGCGAGCCATGTACTTTCACTACTCCACCGCGGACTAGCAAGTCCTGCCAGCTGAGCACAGAGGAACCTGATGAAGTTAGCCAGACACAGGTATTGCCTTTAATTGTTTTACTTGTATGAGACGAGGTAGCAATATAATTTTGCAATATAATCAGCAACCAGATAGTTGTCTGCTTCTCAATCCCCTGGATGGTTAGGTGGGCGGGGGGAGAGGGAGGATGTGGGGGTGGCATGCAGAGCAGTTCATAGGAATGTTCTCAGGAAGATGCAAAGAAATCTTCATGAAGGCTCCATAGATGTACTCTGCAGTCCTCTCCTGAAGGTTTCTAGGAGTGGCTGCCTTATTTACTCCTCAATGGTAGGTCACTTTCCCATGCCACTCTGTGATGACTTCGCCTGGCACCATTGCAGTTCACAGGCTAGTGGCATATGGGTCTGGACAGCTTTGGGACATCAGTAGCAGATATGCTTTCTGTGCCTTTGTTACCCTCAGGAGTGAGACATCAGCTAAAATAACTACTGCCTGTGGAAAATTAGTGCCACAGTATTATTGCACTATGTTCATACACATGGAAATAAAGGCTGATGTTTCATATAATGGAAAAATTCCTTCCTCATTTCTCCCCAACCCTTCCCCCCAGCTTCTATGCCCTTGGTGGGCCATATTCCCAATGCCTGGGACTGGAGAGCTAGACTGTGCAGAGGCACTTCAAAGCTGAAGTGTCAACAAGCATGGTTTTATTAAAAATATTTATGGGATTAAGAGAATGGGGTTCTGAAATTTATTTTTCACTTTCCATTGTGACAGTAAATCCAATGATACATTGTCTGTTTTATTTGTAGCTACTGCTGTTGGGGCCCTGTGGGGTACCCCTTCCACACTATGGAATGCCTGACCCTGATGAGAACGAGAAAGAAGGGGACTGTGGAGGATATGTTCATTGAGATCCTCCAAGCTAGTGCTGCACTGGACTGTGAATGGGGGCCCTGCTATGTGAATGTGGCAGACTGTGTAGAAAAGCCCAGAGGTCCCAGTGGGAAAAGGAGATGGAGATGCACCGGGACATGAGTCTTTTTAGTCAGGAAACACAAATGCTGCAGACTCTAGTTGATCTACGGGTTCAACAGTCATGATCTCGCTTCCATTTTAGCACCTCCCTGTAGTGAGGTGGAGTGGCCTCCCACTGAACCAGAGGGGGCAGGACCACACTCTGAGCCCAGGTGGGTGGAGCCAAGCTGTGCCCATCCCTCCCACTGGAAGTCAGGAGGCAAGACAGGAAGTATAAAAGGCAGGTCCTAGAGCTCAATTGTGCTGCAGACACCGGAGGAGACGGACGCCTTCCACCCCACCTTTTCCTGATGCTGGAAACCATATAGGAACCCCACTGAGCTGAGGACTGGCCAGAGCTGCTAGCTGACCTAGGCACTAAGGAGGCAGCTAGTGGCAATCCCAGCATCTACCCTGAGGAAATGGAGTACCCCCACGAATCCAGATATACCCCCAAGGGGAGGAGGTGGCCCAGGGACAGCTGACCCAGTCTGTCTGCAGTGCTGCCAAAAACCTGGTCAGCGTGTTGCGGCTGGATTCCCCGCTGACCTACTGGTGGAACACTCTGTAGGGCCCTGGGCTGGGACCCGGTGGAGTTGGGTGGGCCCGGGTTCCCTTGCCCCCCATTATGGGGTGGCAGCCTCCCCACCTTAGGCCACGAGGCCTGCATTTGTCTGCCATCTACCTGAGCCAAGATGTCAGGCAATAGACTGCCTACTGCTCTGCCCCATCTCAGAGGTCAGAGAAACCCCTCCTGAGGCCCGAGACTGTTTGGTACCCAGTCCTGAGACTAATTGCGTCTCTGCCCCTGCCTAAGGGCCAGAGATCACACACTGCTTATTTCCCTGCCTTGCTTGAGGGCCGGAAGCTTTTAGACTGTTTGGTGCCCTGCCCTGACAAAGGCCCAAGCCATACATCCTTGCAGCTCTGCCTTGCCTAAGGGCCAGAGCCCTAGACTGTTTACTCTGCTAAATCCCTGACTGTGGGTGATGCCCACTGATGATGTGATGTGGAGTGGCCTCCCACTGACCCAGAGGGGAAGGACCCACTGCTAACCCACTACATTCCCTTACAACCTCTCAACATTCCAGGTGGCATCATGGGCTGAATCCCTACCCCTGTTACTCCATGCCTGGGGACAGTAAGGACAACCAGAACTTCACATACATCCCCCTGGCTCTCTCAGGTCAGCGTACATGTAGCCAAAATGGACTGAAATGGACAGGAATGTTTTCTACTGTTCTAATTTTAAAGTTCTGTTCTGATTTATTTTAGAAGTTTGAATTTTATTTGTTTTTAATTGTACTTTTTGTCTTTATTTTTTGAAAATAAATCCATCTTTATTACTTCACAGCATGTACTCCAGGATGCCTAGTTCTACTCAAAGCATCTACTACTTGTAAATGTACAGGACCACTGAATTCATAGGTACAGTTAAAAAAAAAAGTGTTAATTACAAATGTACAGCAAACATGGCAAAATTCATAGATGCATTAAAAGACCATGTGATGTTCATAAATGGTACACAATTCCTAACAGCCTCTAAAACTTAAAACTGCAGGCCAGGAACAGCACAGCACATTACTGTGGGTGATCGTTAAAGTGCTCCTTCAGCCACATAGATCCGCAATGAGATCTTTAATGGCCCTTGTGTCTGCCTGCTGAAAGTAATCAGACAGCCACTCCATCTCTGCCCTCTACCCCAGTGGCATTTTCCCCCCTTTGCTCAACAGATATGCAAGATACAAAAGACAGCTATAACCAGGGGGATATTTTTCTCACTGTGATCTAATCTAGTGAGTAAACACTGCCAGCATCCCTTCAGTCTGCTGAAAGCACATTCAAATGTCATTCTGCACCTACTGAGTTGGTAGTTGAAACTTTGGTGTGTCAGGGTAGCCAGGGTAAGGCTTCATGAGGCTTCACCACTATTGCCATTTCTGCATCGCCAATGAAATATGCTGGTTGGAAAAGCATGACCCTGCCTGCAGCTTCCTGTGAACAGTCCTGTTGTTCTTAAAGATGTGCACATCCCATACCTTCCTTGACCAGCCCATGTACATTTGCAGAACCACAGAAAAGGAGCCATTTCTGTTGATGTACTCTGTCAAGGTGGATTGGTACCAAATTAGGATTGGTACACCATTTATCACCCCAACACAGTTTGGGAACTCCATTGCTGCAAATCCATCCACGATGCCCTGCATTTTTCCTAGAATTGCTGTCCTGTGTAACAGGATCTGCTAAATCGCGGTATACGCTGGTGTGGTAACAGCCTCTGCTGTTGATTTTCCAACTCCAAAAGATTTCCCATTGACTGGTAGCAATCCAGCTTTGCAAGATTCCACTGTGTGATTGCCACTTACTTCTTAACTGTCAATGCAGCTCTTATTCTGGTGTTCATCCACTGGAGGGCGAGGGCCAGAAAAAAGTGCTGTGTGCGCGGGTGTGGCACACTTTACCTCCAAGCACCACCCTGGAACTCCCATATTCACACGTTGCATAATTATATTTCATACAAAGCATGTCATGTAAGATACCTTATGAAAGGTCATGATCTGCTGAAACCCATACTGTCAAAATACCTATATTGTTAGTGTGCATCAAGTTATGAGACTTTGCTGTATGGTTGTTTCTGAAATATGCTGTAAATTTGCTAGTGACATATAAAGGATGTAATCCCTGCCCCGGAGGGTGTTCAACGACAGTTAATTAGCAGGAGAGTTGTAATAAAAGTTTTTTTTACAATTCAGTCACAGTTGCACAAGACCACACCAGGGGAATCACTCAACCCTGTGACTCAGCAAAGCCCACCAGGATGTGTTTGGGCTAGTATTTTCCAGGCAGGTGGACTGAGGGTATAAAATAAGGGACAGTAGCATCATGCATTTGCCTTTCTCCTCCCCCACCTATGCTGGAAACAAGAATGCTGAGAAGGCAAAGACTTCAACTGAGGAGACTGGTCCCAGGTTTGAGAGAGAGAAATCTGTATTAAGAACTGTACATCCAGTGGGGGTGAGAAAAATGCTTGATCTAAATACTGCCTTGTGTAATAAGGTGTTTGAGACTTAGATTGTGTGCTTACCTTTTATTTTTCTTTGGTAACTTTTTCTGACCTGTTATACCTACCACTTATTATCACTTACAGTCTTTCTGTAGTAAATAAATCTGTTTTATATTTTACCTAAAACTGTATTTTGGTTGAGGTGCTTGGGGAAATCTCAGCTCAGGTTACAAAGGCTGGTGTATGTCCTCCCCATTGAGGGAGGGGCAGACTGGGTAATAAACTTACACTGACCAGGGCAAGACGGTACAGCTCTGGGGTGCAAGGCTGAGGTGATGGGGGAAATTGATTGGTGCCTTTTTCTGTGTGATTTGTGAGTGGCTTTGGGAGCATTCACGAAATCTAGCTGAATGTGATGCTCGACATGCTGTTGTGCTGAGTGATAGCAGCTCCTGGAGGGGTGGACTGCTTGTCACTAGCAAAGCATTGTGAGAGACAGCCGAGGCTGGAGAGTTAAGGGGGCACAGTGGTACCCCAGTTCCAGGTTGTGCCCAAGGGATCCCGTCACAGTGGGTTTGTGGTATTTTTAAAACGCTTAAAAACTATGGAATAAGGATGGTATTATGGGATGGAGAAAGTTACATGATGTCAACTTGACTCTTGCCCTCAGCCTCCCCAACCCCCATGCAGCTTGTGTGTACCCCACAACATGTTGCAACAATTTATCAAAAGGTATTTTACTGGAGGGTGATGCAGAGTACCTGGGTGTACCTCTCGTACACCGAGGTTTGTGTTGGGATGGGCACTGCTGGTGAGGATGTGTAGAACCAACCCAAGCAGCCATACTCTAACTGCAGTGGCTTTATGCTGACATAACTTAAGTCAACCAAAGTTTGTAGTGTAAATGTGGTCTTGCAGCAGCAGGCTGTCCTCCATTAAAGCAGACCAACTATTAGATGGTACCCCAACATACACGAGCCAGTGTTCTACACAACCACATAAAAATACTTAAGAGGAAAAGAAGTCTTAATAAGATTGAAGCCATTGTGGTATTTGGTGGCCCTTTTGAAAGGGATCTCTTTCACTGTTCCCAGTGGGACTGAGCATCTTGATTCCACCATCATCCCCAAGGGCAGGATGTGGCATCAGTCCCATTGAGGACTGTGGGAGATGGTCATTTTGGAAGGGAAAATTTTTTTGTGCCAGGTAACTTGACAAATAAGTAAAAAAATGACCATTTATCCTAAATGTCTTCAAAAGCCACCATTGCACCGGATCCCATCATCAGGCCAGAAGGGAACGTGAAAGTAGCATGTATGTGCTAGGGAACCCAAATTACACTATTGCCCTATCACCAACTTTTCAAACTTTCCATATTAAAATTCTGTGCATTGGCAGCATTGTAATATTTCTTTTAGGCTTAGTGGTCATTTTTCCTCATTTTTTCATAACTTAAAAATATTAAATTGTCCTTCAGGAGAAACCTTAAATGCACCCTGTAGTGACAGTGCAAAACCAGTCAACTATGATTAAGGTATTTTAGGTTTTGTGGACTCAGATTAGATTAAACTGACTTCTAAAGAGGCACTTGTTTGTTTGTTTTTCTTCTTCTCCTCTCCTCCCCCCACTCCTCCACTATAGCTATAGGGCAGAGTTAAGGTTGTTTGGCTGCCCTAACTATATTTGCACACTTTAATGTATTTTCAGACTTTTCCCACCATCTGTTTTTAGTTTCTTCCACCTTGTGTTTAAGGTGCACTTCCCTCTGTGTTTTCAGGGTAGTCATTGATGCTACTTTGCATACTAAAAGGGTCCCATATTATGGCAACCATCCCTTTGGCCTAGAGTATTTGAATGTGGCTCTGTCTGGAGCCCACAACTCTGCTCCTAAAACAGCCAGTTAGAAAGTGCTTCCTCTTGTGCGTGGAGTATGAAGTCTTCTGCATGTTCCCAATACTGCATTATTCAACTGGTCTGTAAATAATGCACAGGTACAGGATTTTAACTTCATTTACTTTGAGATTTGTATAGTGATGTACATTTTGCGGTATTCTTTGTAAATATTAGAAAAAAGCTAAATTTTGTCTTCTGCCAGATAAGAATCACTGATAGGTTTAAAGGAAACACCTGAACAATTTATTGCTTTTGCCCAAATTTAAGAGACTGACACACAAGATAGTTGAACATTTGTATCAAATTTTTGGATTGGAATCTTTCAGCTTTTCTAACCGAGGAAAAAGCTTTTCATTACATCCATAGGAAGAAATAAATTCTAAAATTGCATTTAAAGTGTAGAATATTTTGGTGCTATTTTTAGTGTGTATAACTTGTGTATATTATCTTGATTAGTTTAAGTGTGTACATACTGAATTTTCTTTTCAGGTTCTCTGATAGAGCAGCTGACCACAGAGAAATATGAGTGTATGGTATGCTGTGAGGTGATCCGAACAATAGCCCCAGTATGGAGCTGTCAGAATTGTTATCATGTGTTTCATCTGAACTGCATTAAGAAGTGGGCAAGATCACCAGCATCGCAAGCCGAAGGTAGGTATTTTTATCATTATCAGATGTACAGAGAAGTTCACGTTTTTCATGGTATGTGCAAGAAGAGAAATTCTAGTCCTAAATTACCTATTCATTTAAGTTGATTAGTACAACTGCCTCCGAGTAAAGCAAGCTGTAAATCAGAAATGGGCAAATTTTATGGTTCTTCACATTACAGCTCTGTTATTTTTCTATACTTTTGGCTGAATGAACTTCCGGAGGGCGGGGGGAAGAGAGAGAGAGAGAGTGTGTGTGTGTGTGAGAGTGAATGATAGTGGCATGCCAGTACTGCTATAGTTACAGTTGCATTAAGACATCTGTTTGATGGTTGCCTTATTCTAAGTTCTCTAGAATTGATGTACTTAGTTGGATTTATTTGAAATTTGATGTGCGTTGGGGGTGCAGGGTAGGGTTAGTCACCCATATTGGAGTCATGTGTATGTACTGTTCTGGCAATATGAACCCTGAAAAAAATAGCCATTTTTAAAGAAACTTATGGATGGGGTTTTTTTCCACTTAGCAGTTGAGATCAAACTGTTTGACTCCATTTTCATCCACTAATAAACTGCCAAGATTTACCCAACATAGTGATGGCAGCCTGAGAAAATTAAAATGTGCATTTTCTGCACTGCGCACACACCAATGCAGAAAAATAGCTAGACGGTTTCTATTCTTGTCATTTTATATGGTTTAAAGCTCAAAGCTTGTAAGCTGTCTAAAATCTGAATGTTTAATTGGATTGCTTTAAAATTTGGGGTGCCTCATGGAGTGCAGTGTAGTGTTTGTTAGTGATCCAAATTTGAGGTCATTTGACTCTGGGATTCATGAGTTATGGGGCTTCCCCGCAAACCCCACCTCCCTTCTGCTTCCTTGTGCTTTTAAATGAAGAAGCTAATCACTGGTAGAATAAATGCCTTGCTGAATTTGATGACTGAAATCACCCCTGATGGTTTTGAACTCACCCTTCAATTAACTAAACTAAGGTAAAATTAATCACAAGCCCTCATCTAAGACAAAAGGAGTTTTGAACTGAGTGGCTGGGCATTACTACCATTTGTGAGTCATGGGGACAGCTTTATTTGGGGGAATGTAATCATACTATTTTATGGGGGGGGGAGGGATTAGACATGTGAATGCTTCCTGGGAGGGAAGGAGTACTAGGGGGTGGAGAAGTGAGGGAACGGTGTGGGAGTTCAGGGAGGAGGATAAATGTGAATGTATGTTAAGGGGAGGCGAGAGATGTTGGGAGTTTAGATGAGGGAGGCATCGCACCCCCCAACTCTGCCAGTGCACTTCAACCCCCCTGCATCTCCCAGCTATGCCAGTGGACCGCAAACATCCTGCACAAACAGCTGTGCCACCTATCATGCACCCCAACTCCCTGCATCCCCCAACTCTGCCAGTGCACCTCAACCATTGTGCACCCCAACTCTGCCTGTGCACCCCAGCCACCCCACCACCCCAGTTGTGCCAAAGAGCATGCACTCCAGCCCTGCCCGTGGACCCCAATCACCCTGCATCCACAGAAGTCTTTGGACGGAAGAAATTAGACATGTGAATGCTTTCTTGAAGGGGGAGGGGTTATGAGGTTTGGGGTGCAATCCACACCAGTGACCCTGTACCCTGGGATGCCTCTCAATGCTTTGCTGCTGTATTTCCCAGCCTAGGATGCTCACAACCAACCTGTCAGCATGCAGGTAACAGCCTAAGTGTCTGTGGGCTGAACAGCTCTGGTTTAGCTGCTCTGGCACCAGCAGCACACCAAATATGCTCTTCCTGGTCTCCACCAGCCTTGGGTACTACTTGCAGGGTAACCCGCATACACTCCCAATCATGAATTTTTCCAAAAACTGCGTGCTCTGTAATGTCCACCCCTCTCCTGGACAGTTCAGAGAAATAATAGGGTTTATTTGTTCCTCTAAAGACACACAACCTGGCAGCTTTCCACATTCACTTTAATTCAAAGACAGTACTGGTGGTTTAGATTAAAAGTAAAACAAATTTATTAACAAAAGAAGCTAGGATTTTAAATGAGTTCAGGTATAAGAGAAAGTTAGAAAGGGTCACAAGCAAATAAAAGTGAAAATACACATCTGAGTCTAAAACTTAATTTAGCAGGGTTCAGGGTTTGTTCAAGATGGTTTCTCTCACCAATCATCATTCTTTCTAGCCATGACAGACTTTCCCTCAGTCAGAACTGTAGTTAGTCGTTGTGTGTGTGTGTGCGTGCGCTGTCTCAACTCTGCGCAGATAGCTGACAAAGCAGACCTTGATAAAATTGCCCAAAAGACCATAGACCCGTTTCAGAAGAGAAAGCACTTGGCCAGGTTTGTCAACGAAGCACAGTCTTAATGCCATTGCTCAATGGTTACCGGTACACTAACATGTATTCCCATTGCAATGGGCTCAGCTCAAGTGAATGGTGGAACTTTCCATTCCCCACCTTGACTAGCCAAAGACACTCCCTCTTAAACCCCTCTTTATACACTGATACAAACAAGTTACGTATCATAGACGATTGGGGTTGGAAGAGACCTCAGGAGGTCATCTAGTCCAACCCCCTGCTCAAAGCAGGACCAACCCCAACTAAATCATCCCAGCCAGGGCTTTGTCAAGCCAGGCCTTAAAAACCTCTAAGAATGGAGATTCCACCACCTCCCTAGGTAACCCATTCCAGTGTTTCACCACCCTCCTAGTGAAATAGCTTTTCCTAATATCCAACCTAAACTTCCCCCACTGCAACTTGAGACCATTGCTCCCTGTTCTGTTATCTGCCACCACTGAGAAGAGCCTAGCTCCATCCTCTTTGGAACCCCCCTTCAGGTACTTGAAGGCTGCTATCAAATCCCTTCTCACTCTTCTCTTCTTCGAATGATTGCTCCTGTGTATTCCACAGTAGGTGTGCGTGCTCGCCATGTGCACCGGTGCTGGAAGTTTTTCCCTTAGCAGCATCCGTAGTGGGGGAGCACCACTGACACCCCTGGAGTGGCGCCGACATATGGCGCTATCAAGGGGGCTGCGTGCTCCCCCCACACTCAGTTCCTTCTTGCCACCAGTGAAGGTAGTCGGAACTTGTGCTCCAGCTTTGCTGCAGCATTTCTAGCCTTAGTGGTATCCAGCTTTCCCTGAAGTCACTTGTTGAACTTTCTCTGTTAGTGCTGGGCTCGGGGCATGCCCCGTGGCCCAGGCTTCAAGTCGTGCGACTCTTGTCGCAATTCTGTGCCCAGAAGCGATCCACACACTCAGTGTCTTCGCTGTCTGGACGAGGCTCACATTAGTGAGGCACAAGTACTTATACTCCCACCCAACTCCGAACTCTCTAGTAGAGGAGTTGGTGAACCATCGAGAGAGACATGGCCAACCCGCTCCTACCCCTAAGGACAAAGACACTCGCAGGCTGGATTCCTTTGGGAGAAAGGTTTATTCGTCTGCGAGCTTTCAGCTCAGAATGGCCAACCACCAGGCACTCTTGAGCAGATATGATTTTAACCTGTGGGGGTCCCTTCCCAAGTTTAAGCCCTCCCTCCACGAGAAAGACAGGAAGGAGTTCCGGGCTCTTGTTGATGAGGGTGCGGCGGCGGCTAAAGCGGCGCTCCAGGCGGCCTCCGATGCGGCGGACACGACCGCTCGTTTGATGGCCGCGGCGATTTCCATGAGAAGGGAGTCCTGGCTTTCACTCTCTGGCCTATCGGCTGAGTCCCAGTTGATCATGCAGGACCTGCCGTTCAATGGTCGGGCCCTGTTTGCAGATCAAACAGACACGCGTCTGCATGGGATGAAAGACTCCTGTACTACCCTGCAGACGCTGGGCCTGTACGTCCCGCCGGCCAAGGACAAGCCCAGGCCTCACACCTCTGCTCCACAGGCTCGGGGTAGATATGAGCTCCCGCCTAAGAAGCAGCGGGAGCAGAGGCGCCGGTCACAACGTCAATCCCGTTTGGCCCCTCGTCCGGGGCCCTCTACGGCCAGGAGGCCAGGGAAGCGGCGTTTTTGACTGCTTGCGGGGGGTCACTGGGCCTGTTGCCAGGTTAACCCTCCCCAGTTAATAAAGTTCAGGTCTGCAAATCGTTTACCTGCCTTCCGTTTGCAATGGTTCCGTATCACTACGGACTGCTGGGTCCTCAACACTATATCCCTGGGGTACAGGTTGCAGTTTGTTTCGCCCCCTCCCAATTGCCCTCCGCCCAGGAAGTCGGCGGAGGACTCGGAACATGCGCTCCTCCTAGGTCAGGAGGTACAGCGCCTCCTCTCCCTGGGAGCCGTGGAGAGGGTACCTTGGGAATTCCGGGGCAAGGGATTCTATTCAGCAGCAGCAAATATCCCTCTTGCTACGCACCTGCTCCCCTCTGGCCCTAATGGTAATCGAGGAGAAATCCACGTTAGTTCCTGTCCAGTGCATAGAATTCATAGGAGCGCTGCTGGATTCCCAGACGGCTATGGCCTCCCTTCCAAGGGACAGGTTTGAGGCACTCAAAGGCCTTCCCGGTAACCACGGTTACCCGGTCACGGCCTTCCCGGTAACCACGCCTTCAAATCCTTGGCCACGTGGCAGCATGCACCACCGTGGTGTGACACGCCAGGCTCCGGATGAGGCCCCTCCAACTGTGGTTGGCATCCCGCTATTCCCAGGCCAGGGACGGCCTGGACAAGGTTGTCACGGTGCCGCCAACGGTGGTTGCAGACCTCCAATGGTGGTCCCTCCCAAGCAACATGGGTAGGGTATCCCCTTCCAAGACCCCTCTCCATCACTAGAGCTAGTGTCAGATGCCTTGGACCTGGGCTGGGGAGCCCACGTGGGAGATGTCTGGACCCAGGGTATGTGGTCACCCGAGGAACTGACCCTGCACATAAATGTCAGGGAACTCAGGGCTGTGCACCTGGTGTGCCTGGCCTTTCGCCAGCACTTACAAGGGAAGGTGGTCAGAGTCCTCACGGACAACACCACTGCAATGTATTACATCAACAGGCAAGGGGGCACGCGCTCCAGGGCCTTATGCCAG